AAAAAAAAAAAAAAAAAAAAAAAAAAAAATCGAATGACTTGACAAGCTTAGCCCAAACACACACATGACACACCCTAGCTATAATATCTTGGGGGAGATGGACCGGGTGGTACCACTTGGTGTAGTTATCCAGCACCAGAAAAGATTCGAACTCATCTTTCAATCGGATAATTAGTTTATGTGGGGCTACAAAAATATAGCTATCATATTTGTTGTTACTATTCTAGAATATCCGTTTAATTTTCCATCACCATTTAACAGCCACAAAACCGGCTGAGGAGTGGATTCTATTAAAAGATTGGTAATCTTAAGGTAAGTTGTAGAATGTTTGTGATGCCTCAAGACAACTACATGTCCATATCCTGTTGGTTTATAGACAACAACTTAGACCCACAAATTGATGTTCTTAGACTGGAATTTTTGAGACAGGTTTTCTCTATTTAAGTTTGCTACACTTGCAAATGACCAATTCGGGTCAGTTCAGCTCCGGTCATTATTGGACACAGACACTGATTCGCAGCCTGCAGCTGCAGTAGTTAGACATGAACGTTTGGCCTGAACCGGGTTGCCTTTATCCCTAATAAGACCGGACCAAGACTAAAAGTCTAAACCCTAGTTTCTTAGATTCAGCACCCAAAAAAAATATCCCGAGTTATAAATGTATGGTGGTTCTTAGTTAAGTCTCCCTCTCTCCCTCTGGTGTTATTATATGGATATGGGAACTAGTAGACAAGAAAAGGTCATTAATGCAATAAATCCAACATTTAAAGCACATGAAGCGTAAGTTGTCAGAAGTAAACATCAAGCCTAGACAACACACAGACTCAAGATTGTTCCAAAACACTCCAGCTAAGAGACCAGAACAGGAACATGTTCCTTTACATATGCAGTTTTAATTATCCTGTTTACAACAAGCTGCTTATCTTTATTTTCATCAAGTACTCATACCACAAACTTCTGGTTCAAGACACAGGTCGACTAGCTACCTCTAATCCGTTACCTGCACAAACAAAAAAAATTGGCAGCATAATCTGTAAGTTGAAACATACATGAACAAGTATCCGAACAGTGTTTCAAATAACAATTCTGGTAGACTAATGTATTCAATGCTTTTGTTCTGAATATTAACAAGAGGAAACAAACTATATGGGAGTAATATTAGCTACTATTAGGCATGTGTTTATGAGTAAAAAGAGAGATAAAATTACCATCAGGATCAAAGAAGAAAACTTGCTTGACTTTTCCATCAGGAAGAGACTTCTGGAAAGTTTCTATCCCTTTCTCCTAACACCATTCAAAGACGAGAGAAGATCAAATAAAAGATCAACTACAATCAGTATTGAAACCAATGCAGAACACTAGATAATCTTTGTGCTTAGAGGAAGCATAACTGTTTCAGACAGTCAAAATTCAATACCAAGTTACCAACCATATGATATCGCATAGTCAAAGTTGTCACGTGAACAAGACAAAGCAATGGTAAAGAAACAAGACCTTGAGAGAGCCAAGGAAAGAGTCGAAGTTGGAGACAGTGAAGCAGATGTGGTGACCCATAGGGAGATGGCTAGGATCTCGAACGGCAGAGGTGGCACTGAAAGGACCTTCAGGGAGGTTTGTTGAAGTGTTTCTCTGGATGATGTGCATTGCAAAAGCACCTGGTAAGTTAATCCATATCACTTTTAAGTCTCCAAAATCAGGGGTTTCAATCTCCTCAAACCCAAATATCTGCAAAGTCATCATGATGTATAATATATTATCACATAACAATAGAAAGTAAAGTTCAATGATCAAAGGATAAACATTAACTTGATCAAAAGGAGTGAAATCTTCAAATAAAAGAAAACTAATTTGCGAATTCTAGAGCCGATGGGTAACAATCAACACAAACATAGAACAGAAAAATTCGAGAATACAGATAACAGAGAGAACGATAATTAAGAAGACATAGTTCAAAAAAAGAGTAAGAAGATGAGAAGGTTGATTAGGTGGTTTTGTTACCTCTTTGTAAAACTGGGCGAGGCGTTTGATGTCGGATGATTCTCTCGCGATATGGCCTAGAGTCGCCATGTTTTGTCGGTTCAAAGAACAGGACCAAAGCTAAAAGCACACAACACAAAACTTAGGCTATTATTATTGGCTAAGTAAATAAGATCAGTGAGTGAGAGTAATCTCCAGGTCATCATTATTATTGGCTACGTGGCATCGAACCGATATTACACTATCTACAATCAACATAACACCGTTGGACCGGTCGGTTGAAGATTTAATTGGATTTTTAGCTTAAGCTTCGACAAAATATAATTAATTATTATTTATATGTATCTGTACTTTTGAAAATGAGAATCAAAAGTCAATGTAATTCTGTAGAAATCTAAATTAGTAAAAAAATCCAACCAATAGCAATTAGAATCTCTATATCCGGTTACACCCGGTCCGATACTAAACCCGGTTCCTCGTACTCCACCACCATCTCTTCAATCGCACTCCCTTTTATCTCTCAGATCAGACGTCAAATTCAACTCTTCACTTAAACCAATTTCCACCGAAACTTCTCCTCTCCGTTCGCCAAGCCCATCTATCAATCGAAGATTCTCGACATGGAAGGCAATTCTAGCGGAGGAACAGCAACAGGAGGAGGAGGAGGAGGGAGCGATGTGGAGTTGGTGAGCAAGACGTTACAAGTGGAGCACAAGCTTTTCTATTTCGATCTCAAGGAGAATCCTCGCGGGAGGTATCTCAAGATATCTGAGAAGACGTCGGCTACGAGGTCAACCATCATCGTCCCTTCCTCAGGCATCTCCTGGTTCCTCGATCTCTTCAATTACTACGTCAATTCCGAGGAACACGAGCTTTTCAGCAAAGAGTTGCAGCTTGATTCCAAGGTTGAATTAACTCCCCGTCTCTCTCTTATAACTTCATCACTCACGGGCGTTGACTTTTTTTTGAGTTCTGTCTGTGTGGTTTTAGGTGTTTTACTTCGACATCGGTGATAACAGGAGGGGGAGGTTCTTGAAGGTATCGATTTTTTTCGTTTTTCCGACAGGAATCTTAAGTTTTTAGCTCATGTTTTTCAGATTGGATGGTTGTCCGAATTTGAAATTAAGAATTGTTCTTTTGAGACTGGTTATCATGTTTGATAGCTTGAGATTTATTAATTTGTCCTTTTTCCGACAGGAATCTCAAGTCTTTAAGCTCATGTTTGTCAGATTGGATTGTTGTCTGAAATTTGAAATTTATGAATGTTCTTTTATATATTAGTTATCATATTTGTTAGCTTGAGACAACGAGATTAATCGATTTGTCCTTTTCCGACAGGCATCTCAAGTCTTTGTGCTCATGCTTGTTAGATTGGATTATTGTCTGAATTTGAAGTTTAGGAATGTCTTTTTTATATATTGGTCATCATATTTTGATAGCTTGAGATTTATCGAATTTGTCCTTTTCCGACAGGCATCGGAAGTCTTTAAGCTCATGTTTGTGAGATTGAATTATTGTCTGAATTTGAAATTAGGAATATTCTTTTATATATTAGTTATCAGATTTGATAGCTTGACAAAGGTGATGGGTTTGATCTGGTTTAGGTGTCAGAAGCATCTGTTAGTAGAAACCGAAGCACTATTATTGTTCCTGCTGGAAACTCCCCTGACGAAGGATGGGCAGCTTTCAGGAACATATTGGCTGAGATCCATGAAGCATCTGGGCTTTTCGTGATGCCAAATCAGGTTGGAATACTCACTAAAACATGTTAACTAATAAGCTCTCTGTTTCTCTCGGCTCTTATTCTCACTTTCTCTGGGAAACAGAAACCTTCTGATGGACAGGAACATCTGGCTGGACTCTCAGATGATGTTGGAGCTGGATTTATACCTGGCCATGGTAACCAACCAGCATCTTCTTCCTCAGAGCTTACTGTGGATCGAGCAACTGACTTGCCTGGTCAAGATGAAGCTGGATTGACCGGTGTTTCTAAGGTAATCAGAGCTGACCAGAAACGGTTCTTCTTTGATCTTGGGAACAACAACAGGGGCCATTTCCTCAGGATATCCGAGGTAAAAATTAGAAGAAACCATCTTTTTGATGTTGTTTAAACTCTTGACTCTTGAGAGCTTTGTTTTTGATAATTCATGAAAATATAGGTGGCGGGTTCTGACAGGTCGTCGATCATTCTACCGTTATCTGGTCTAAGGCAGTTTCATGAAGTAATTGGTCACTTTGTGGAGATTACCAAAGATAAGATTGATGGGATGACAGGTGCAAATGTCAGGACGATTGATCCTCCTCATAGATGAGTACTTGATTCTTTTAGGGGATGTGGAAAATTAAAATGGAATCCATTCCAATCCTCTTGAATCTCAGCGACTTCTCAAGTAGCTGTCTGATCACCTGTGTGCAATAGTTTCCAAGTAATTTATCCCTCATTCACATCATCTAAAAATAATTCAGCAGGATCATCACTTGGCTTTAGTAGCAGATTTTAAGAAAGGTTGGAGTCTGCAACTGGAAATAAGCTGAAGTCATCTACCATTTGTATCCTCTCTTCTTCCTTCCCCACTTCTCTCATTTGGTTATGTTATGTTTTAATTGTTTGTTATCAGTTTGGGTTATTGGTTGTATATCTGTTGACAGCTTTGCATTTTCAGTTGTAAAAGAATATTGGGTTTGGGGTAATGCCAGTGTGTAATAATCAATAAATAATTGAATATGGGTTGAGCAGAGTCTGAATATGAGAATCTGTAGAGAACAAACAGCTTTAAGACAAGAAGAGCAAGAGTTTAAAAGGTTAAGAGCCAAGACAAATAAACTCGGTTAGTGTAATTGCTTAACTAAAAGTTTATCTCAAAGTTTATTAACGCTTTTATCCTAAAGAATTTTGGATTCAAAATTTGATTTCTACTGTACATTTCTATAAGAAAATCACAAAAAATTGTTTACATTGGTACATACCGTTCATTATACTGCCTGAATTTTCATAAAACATAGTAAGAATATAATGTGATATATAAAATCTTTAATATAATCATCATCCAATGTTAAATAAAAATATAATAATCATCCTAACTTCTTGTCCGAAAAAAACCATCCCAGTTTAAAATAAAGTAATAACGAGTCGATATTAAAAAAAATTAAAGTCGGTGATTTATATATATCCTCTTCAATAAACCACCACACACACACCTCTCTGAAACCCTAGCCGCCTTCTCTAGAACCATCTTTTCTACCTGTACCAATTTCAAGGTTCGGACTAAAGCCTCATCTCCTTCTCCTCTCTCTATATATATGTTATCTCTCTATCGAATCTGGTCTGAATCACGTTCTTCTTGTTAAAAATCGCTTGCAGACATAATGAAACCAGACCAGATCTTGTCCTAGATCCGTCCCCCATTCATCACCATGTCGCTGTTTCTAAAAGACGACTCGATCCAAATCCGCGAGGTATGGAACGACAACCTCGAATCAGAAATGGCTCTGATTCGAGAAATCGTCGACGACTTCCCTTTCGTCGCGATGGACACGGAGTTCCCGGGGATCGTCTGCAGACCTGTCGGAACGTTCAAAACCAACACCGAGTATCACTACGAGACCTTGAGAACTAACGTCAACTTGCTCAAAATGATTCAGCTCGGTCTCACATTCTCAGACGAGAAAGGAAACCTCCCGACATGCGGTGGTTCCGACAACAAGTACTGTATCTGGCAGTTTAACTTCCGCGAGTTCGATCTCTCCTCCGACATCTTCGCTCACGACTCCATCGAGCTGCTACGCCAGTCGGGAATCGATTTCGCTAAAAACAACCAAAACGGCGTCGATTCGAAGCGTTTCGCGGAGCTTTTAATGTCTTCGGGGATTGTGTTGAACGAGAATGTTCATTGGGTTACGTTTCACAGCGGGTATGATTTCGGTTACTTGTTGAAGCTGTTGACGTGTCAGGACTTGCCGGAGACGCAAGGTGGGTTTTTCGAGATGATTAGGGTTTATTTCCCGAGGGTTTACGATATTAAGCATTTGATGAAGTTTTGTAATAGTCTTCATGGGGGTTTGAACAAGTTGGCGGAGCTGCTTGAGGTTGAGAGAGTTGGGATTTGTCACCAGGCGGGGTCGGATAGTTTGTTGACTTCGTGTACATTCAGGAAGCTGCAGGAGAATTTCTTCATTGGTTCTATGGAGAAGTACTCTGGTGTTTTGTATGGATTAGGTGTTGAAAATGGTCAGAGTGTTCACTGAAATAAAAAATAATTATTTTTCCACATTTTATAAAAAAAGTTATTTAGATTCATGTTGATGGGTTTATGTTTTTTTTTTCACATCGTAGATTAGGTTTTTTTTTAGAAGCAGCTAGATGATTGTCCAACACTGTTTTTATAACAGTTTGTGTTCTTTGTTTACATGGTTTCGTTTATTATTACAGAAGTTAAGGTTGTTGAAAAGAAAAATCTATCGGCAAGAACTGTACTCCAAATCATTTACATTATTAATTTCCTTTTTGTCAGCTAAGGTTTTATTAATACGATGGTTGGTCTACATAAACACAATCTGATGGTGACAATATATTCCTAGCTAAGAATTCATTCACATCTGTTATAATCTCATTTGCTAAGTAGGAAGCTAGCATTGCGAAACACTTGTTTCCAGTTTACAATTGTGTGTGTCCAGACAATGTCAAAGAGTGGGGATGTTGGGAAGACTTTGCTTATTGACGAATCCGGATTGAGATGAATTAACGAAATGACCCATTAACTGGCCCATTAGAATGGCCCAACAAATCTTAAAATTTCTTCGAAAACCCTACTATATAAACTCGTCACTCAATTTTCGCTTCCTTTCTACTCGTCCTCATCGTACCCTTTCCAAGGTTAGCCATTCACTCTTTTGTACGAATGTGATAATCCAATCCTCTTCCTCTTACCGAGATTTTGCTTATTTACGAATCCGGATCTGCTTTCGTTTTATTGGCAGATTTAAAAGGACTTTCGCCTTTCCTCACAAATTCAGAGAGTCATCATGTCTGGGTAAGCTTCTCTTTCGATGTAGCTATGTTGGATGTTACCACATTTCGTAATCGGTAATAGATACTGAAGTTTAGGGTTTATAGATTCATTTGGAGTTAGTTTAGTACATCATATTCTGTTTTGTTCATTTTGGATTAACTTAAGGAGAATCGTTAGTTGTAATGTTTGTAAGCCTGCTCCTAGTTCGGTTTGGTTTATTTGATTTTCGGTTAATTCGGTTCACACAACTCTAGCCAAATTAAACCGAGAACACTTAATTCGGTTCGGTAATAGGTTAGTTCGTTATCTAAAATTTTACTGAATTAAATCCAAATTTTCGATTTTCAGTTTTCATTTCGATTCTATTTTAATTTATTTGGTTAAATTTTTGAGTAATTTCGCATAAATTCTGTTAGTTAGGTTCAAAATTTGGATAAGATTTCAGTTTTGTATAAATCAGTATGATTTTTATTATATAAAAATGTAAAAAATAACTAACCGATAACGATTTATGTTTTAAATCTGCTGATTTGGACTGAACTCTTAACCAAACTTGCGCCGAAAGCCAAGATTTTTGGTTAAGTTCGGTTAGGACTATGTGTGCGTTGTAGTCTTATTCTCTCCTCTCTTCTGTTTCAGAGAAGAAGCTGCACCTGCTGTTGTTCCTCCGGTTGCTGAGCCAGCTGCAATTCCAGAGGACATGGATCTGTTGACTGCTTTGGAGCTGACTCTAAGGAAAGCCCGTGCTCACGGTGGTGTGACACGTGGTCTCCATGAAAGCGCCAAGCTTATCGAGAAGCGTGTTGCTCAGCTCTGTGTCTTGGCTGAAGACTGCAACCAGCCTGATTACGTTAAGCTTGTCAAAGCTCTATGCGCTGATCACAGCATCAATTTGCTTACTGTTCCAAGTGCCAAAACCCTCGGTGAATGGGCTGGTGTAAGTAGTCTTTATTTCTGTCTGCTCTAGATGTAAATGAGATGTTTATATTAATAATCTTGAATATGGTTTGGTTTGTAGCTTTGCAAGATTGATTCAGAGGGTAATGCAAGGAAGGTTGTTGGATGCTCGTGCCTTGTGGTCAAGGTAAAGAGTCTTTTAACACTTTTCTTGATCTGTGAATCTTGTATAATGTGTGTTGACTTGTGTCTTGTTATTTATTCGTGCTACTGTGTTTTTACTCTTTATAGGATTACGGTGAGGAGACAACTGCACTCAACATCGTCAAGAAGCATATTGAATCTAACTAAAATCAGCCAAGTCAGATTTTAAGATGCTATTTCCTCTTGTTTTCTCTGTTTTTGTTATTTAATACTTGTTTAGTGGACATGTCTTGAGATATGTTTCGGACAACAACTTTTTGATGTTATCTAGCTCATATTTAAATACTCAACCAATTCTCTGATCGAAAGTTCTTATTATCTAGCTCCCAAGGGGAAAATATGCGTTTCAATAAACTCTGATTTTCATAGGCAAAGAAGCCATACTGATAACCAAGAACAGTGTAATGTCACAGTTGCAACATAACATATAGTAGGGTGCAATGAGTAGAACTTGATACCTGTGGATGAGTAACGCAGAATGAACATTAGTCAGAAGGCACCAAATCCAATAGCCATGGAGACGAATGTTTAATAACGCTATGCCACGAACAGGTCCTGTACTTGCTTGCAGTTAATCACCAATTCAACTCTCTTCTGTATGCAGAATTATAACCGTGAAGATGACAACAAGTATGGAACTTGCATTGTTATGTCACAACTATGGCACTTGAGGAAGACCGAGTCAGGTATGATGAATCAAATCCGGACCAGAATCATGTTACAAACTTTATTGTAGAGGTAACTATCAGTAACTATTATATTTAACAGTTTTTTTCTTTGTAAATGGACAACATTTTGGTTTACATGATGCGGTAAATGAAAAAGGTTTCTAGCTAAAGTCTTGCTACAATTCTTCTCAAGTAACCACAAGGGTTGGAACTCAATACACAAACCCCAAAAGGGTGTAACACAATCATAATCTTCCTTAATTAGATTTCATCTCAATGTCTGCATCATCCTTAGCAACAGTGTCTGGAGAATCTTTTGGCAAAAGACCAAGTAGAGGCAGAGGGAGTAACGAGCTAAGATTGCACAGGATAATAAGCGTTGATAGGTTATCAAAACTGTCTCTTGTGATGCCAAACACTTGAGTCAGACCTGCCCCCATAAGTCCACCAAGAACACTGCCTCCATTGGAGATTGACATGAGTGTAGCAAAGAGAGTTGCTTCCATTCCTTCTGGACACAATCTCGCCGCTAACACAAGAACCGGCATGAAAGAAGCCTGAGCAAGAACTGTTAGGATTAGAGAGTCTCCTATTGCAAACCACTCGTCGCTTATTCCTAACTGCCTGTTAAAACCAGTCACGAGGAGAACCTGCAAGACATAAGAGCAGTGACAAAGGGTTTAGTAATATAGAAGATTAAAGATTCTTCTTCTAAAGAAGAGGTAAGAGAGACCAACCTGAGTCATCCCAAGACCTGTTCCGAAAACTGTTGTCACTAGAAAGATTTTTCTCAAAGGAACAGTTTTGAGGAAGCCATTGTACAGTCCTACTCCGAGCAACGAAGCAATTGAGGTCACAAGTTTAACTCTTCCTAGAAACTCCGGAGTAAAGCCAAGCTTGTTCGTTCTGAGAAATAGTAAACATTAGCTAGAAATTACAATCTCAGTGAACCAAGTGGAAGAAGAGAAACATACGTGAAGTAAAACATTGCTGAATCAGAGTGTGGCGTGGCTTGCCATAAGAAGATAAATAAGGTTGGAAGAAAAACATTAGGTTGCTTAATGGCACCCCATAGCTGAATCATGTTCTGCTTTGATGTCTGAAGAAAGCCAGGATTGACCAAGGTTATGTTCTCTTTCTGCATTGGCCCTGGTCTGACCACACGTTGTTCGTTGACGAGAACAGCAACTGCTGAAGTTATCAAAGGTAGTAAAGCTGTCACCCCGAATACAAACCTGAGGTATAACAGCTTTTAGAATGCCACCAAGTTAGTTATCTACGACACAAGATACAGAGAAACAAAGGAAAGCTTCTTTTCAAGGGACTGTACCTGACACCATATGACTCCACCAAGGAGCCGCTAAAGTAGGAACTCACAATTCCACCAAAAGCTGAGGATCCCCAGCATAAGGACTGCAGAGATCCCGACACGCTTTGTGACTCGCCACGTGCACGTTCAACAACCATTGAGTCTACTACCTATAACAAACTCAACACTTCAAAAACGCTGAAATATCTCTCTATTTTGTAACTTGATCCACAAAACTTACAACATCAGAAAAGGCGACAGAGAGGGAACCAAGAAGTATACAAGAAGCAGCACTATATTTACTGTCAACAAAACCAGCCATCAAGCTCCACGAAAATGCACCAAGAAGTCCTGAGAGAACTAAATACGACCTCCTTCGGTAGCCAAACAGAGGAACAGAGTCACTGCAACTCAAACAATAGTCCTTCAATATATAACTCGAAATGATAACAAATACAGAGGTGATGAAGGAACCAGCCATACCTGATAAATCCATAGAGAGGCTTAACAAGCCATGGCAATGAAGAAAGCCCCGTTATCACAGCTGTCTAGTCAAAGAGGTATACATTATTGTCAGCCTATAAAGACATTGTTCATGGAAGTCCATTTAAAAAACTTCAAAAAGCATTTCAATCTCTCCCCTTTACCTCAGCAGGATCAAGATGCAAGTCGTCTTTAAGATAGAAACTAACAGCGAGCCTAGCGAGTCCCAAAACACCTTGAACAAAATAAACCATCGCTACAGCAAAATTATCTGGCGATAACTCAACACCCAAAACTTTCTTTCTGCTACCAAAGTTTCTTCCTTTACGAGTTCTAATAGAACCATCTCTAACTCCTTCAACATCCGTCTTCACATTATCTCCTTCAGCTACACCTATACACCCAAAAGTACCCAGTTCACGAATCATAAGAAACTACTCCCAAGTTTGAATCTTTCCATGTACCCAGTTCATGAATCATAAGAAACTAATCAAAAGTGTGAACCTTTTTCGATGGAAACTTACTAATTCTGGAATCAAGAAGGAGAGATTCCTCAGAGTCTCTTCTTCGAGGAAGCTCCGGGATTGAAACTATGGAGGACATGTCTCTCCTATCCGGAGGTCTCCTGCGGCGTTGGGATCGGGCGGTGATGGGGAGGAGGCGACGTGGGAGGAAGGAGAATGGGGAGAGTGTGATTTGAGGAGAAGAGATTGTTTGGATGGAGAAAAGAGGATTGCGAGAAAACGCCATTAAACAATTGTATTTTTTTGTTAATTTTAAGGCTTTGTTTAATGAACACTCCTCCGTGTCTTTAGCTATTATGGAGTCTCCTTTCCCTCTGGATAATTTTTTTTTTTTTTTTCCATTTTGTTCCATAAATTTTCTGATTTCTTTTTAATAAAGAACAATTTATTTGTGTTAAAGATGATTGGTTGAACTGTAGCTGTAAAAATTTTACTGTAGAAAATAGTCTGTAACATTTTTTGATTTAGGTGTAAAAGATGTAGCTTTAAAATTTATTGCTACAGCAGTATATTTTCTACAGCAAAAAAATGTGGCTTTAGAAAATAAGGATTTTACAGCCATTTTTTTAATTTTTTGCTGTAGCTTTAAAAAATATGATAAATCATGATTAGTGATTTAAATGTTGTAGATAAAAATTAAAGCTAAAGTCAGCACTTACAACCCAACCAATCACCCTCAATTTGTAGGCAGTATTAAATCTCTTAGCATTAAAACAAAGACGAAAAGAGTAATTTTGTTGAGAAACTTTCAGAATATAAACTAATTCTTATAATACTTGTTCATGATTTTGATGTATTTTATTTTATTTTATTTAACATTTTAAGGCTAAAAATTATTTTACATTATATTCCATGATTGATGTTGTATACTTTGTGAAAATATCTAGGTACTGATGCTCTAAATGGATAATATTCATATAAAACGATTATAAATTACTATTCTATTTGTTTTTATTGGAAGTATGTTCTGTTTTTTTTTTTAAAGAAATTAAAAATTATTCAGTTTGAAATAACAAGGTAAAAATATGATGTTTGAGTTAATCCAATAAATATAAAGTCAATAGACATAATTTTCAAAAAGAAAAAACTATTGCATATTAGATATGCATGTACACCATATATTTTATATTCTTATTCTCATCTATTTTTCTCAACAAAAACACTCTTATAAAGAGAGCCTCTATTGAGAAAACAAAAAGAACCGCTCTTTTATCTTCCAATAATAGAAAACTTGCGCTTACTATACAAAACAATGAATCGTCTAATTACGAGAATGACCAAACATGTACATGCTTTCCCATGTCTCATTATGGGTGTCCCATGAGAGGCAACTCATCAATCATACAAGTAGGCCAAAAAATAGAAATTCAAATATCCATGACCTTATTCATGTATTCCTAGAAGGAACAATTGTAGTTTCACAACACCACAATTAATAACAACAGTAGCAAATCATTTACTGTGACCACTTGGGGAAAAAAAAAAAAAAAAAGTTGAATTATTTTTGGAAGCAACACGGCAAGCTCCGAATCCTATTCATCTATGTTTTGTTTGGCAACCAAGTAAGTGTCCAAAGTCAAAAGTCAAAATAAACAACCAGCCATTCACAAGATGACACATCACTTCTATCATGGCTTCATTCAATAATTTTAATCAACTATATAATATAATATTACCACTAATCTTATTTTACTCAAAATCAAGAAGCAAGATTCGAGTTTTTTCTTTTTTTTTGCTCGGCGTGTATATAAAGATATCGCATTGACACTACAATGTGATATCACAAACAATCATTATCCTAAATGGAGATGGACGCAAACGAAACTCAATCAAAAGTGGTTGTTTCATCATCGCCGCCGGGAGGAATATCACTCCGGCCAATGACTCTTTCCGACGTTGACGACTACATGGTGTGGGCCACAGACGCTGAAGTCGCACGTTTTTGCTCATGGGAGCCTTGCACGAGCCGAGAAGAAGCCATCAAATACATAACTGACTCCGTCTTGACACACCCTTGGCTCCGAGCCATCTGTTTAGAGGACGACCGTCCCATCGGCTACATCTTGATCATGCCGGTCGATAACATCAGGAAAGAGATCGGTTATGTGCTAGCGAGAAAGTATTGGGGAAAAGGGTTTGCTACGGAGGCGGTGAGGCTAGTGACGGCGGAGATATTCAAGGAGATGCCGGAGGTTGAGAGGCTTGAGGCACTAGTGGACGTGGACAATGTGGGATCTCAAAAGGTTCTTGAAAAAGTTGGGTTTACTAGAGAAGGTGTGATGAGGAAGTTTATAATTATGAAAGGAAGTGTAAGAGATATGGTCATGTTTAGTTTCTTGCCTTCTGATCCTTTCAAGTAATTGATCAACAAAAAGATCAATTAAGATTAATATATAATGTTGGACTTTGTGTATGATTCATAAGCAACATATCAAATAAGCTCTCTGTTTTGTGTTTTTTTTGTGATATATTAGTTGCATTGTCAAAAGTTTCTTTAACCAAGTATTTGGCATTTTCGGTACTTGTATATGAGAGAATTTACATGATCAATCATAGAAACAACTTAACTTTACTTGATATAGTCATAAACTTAATTAGACGGTCAGCCAGTTACACATTGCCAAAGCACATTTGTCCCAAGTGTTTAGAGAGTGCGTAGAGAGGCTCCAAAAAAAAGGAAAAAACTGAGTGCTTAGTGAGGCAATATAAGCGTCCGTTTTGGTTGATTCTTGGCATATTTCGCAGGTTCCACGACACATGACAGACGTGATTAGTCCTTTTAATTTTTTTTTTAAATCCAAAAAAATACTAATAATTTAAGCATTTCCTAGTGATGTGCTGGGATAAATATGCTCTAAGTAAAGAAGAGTTTATAAATTCAGTTTGGGACTATGAAATTATATTAATTTATAGAGATATTAATTTATAGATTATTAATTTAAAGAGGTTATACTGTATAAAGCTAAACTTTAGCTAATAACAAACAATTTCTCTTGATGAGTGTATTGAGCCAGATCCGTGTATGTGTAGAAATATCTATAAAAAAGCACACAAACCAGAAAACAGTCTCTAATTAATGAGTTAAAAAGGTGACAAGTATAAAAAACCAGTAGAAAGAGTAAAAGATTAAGTTAAGGTCCCATGATCATTATTAGGAGAACTTTAAAAAGCCAAACCAGCTTTGATACAAAACGCTAAATTTATCATTTCCCTAATTTAAACACTTCCACAAGCTTCGGGTCGACCTCTTTATGGTCTATAAAAGTAGACATATCAGTACTCCGAAACGCTTCCATCCCTTGGATTCCAACTTTTACAATAGTGCCTTTTTCCATGTTGTAGTAGATAACAAAGGAAGGGTGTGACAACACGATTTCATTACTACTAGTAACTCCAGCAAAGCGTAACACGTCTTTTCCAACCACATTCTTCAACACAGGAGGCAACATGTATGTATGCTTCGACCACTCCTGCTTTTCAGAATCCCCTATGATCCGCAACTCTATCGTACCATGATCAAAACTAACTGAACCTAATTTGCCATTGTAGTTTATATCATAGTTTCACTAAATACTGCTCGCTTAAAAGTCGTGTCCAGTTCGATACAACTGAACTTTTCAGACCTAACGTGAAAACAAACTATTATACTTGTACGATATTTTTTGTTAGCTTTATAGTACAAAACACCATTGATGCATATTCCGTTAAACCAACGGTAATGGGGTATGCATGCAGCACTGTATTATTCTCCACTCCATTTTTTTCAGTTCCTAATGTCAGGACTTGATTCTCGGTGATATATACAACGGTCAAAGTCATATCTCGAGGATAATACCTTGAATTGTTTATAAATGGGATCATACCCCATAAATCTCATCGTTTTAAAAATGTTTCTCACCTCAACCATCCTCGTTTTCTTCATTTTGGGTAACGTTAAAGCTTGTCCCGTGCTAGGTTACATATTATATGTACTATTGAGATCTTTGGTCCCTCTATAAATTTTTTATCTGTGAGACAGACCAATCCATGGACAGGACCACTAATGTCACAGTGGTACTTAGAACCACCAAAGGGTATATGGGTAAGATGCTTGATGGCTACAGGAGAGGAATTCTTATAAGGGTTTTGAGAATTTAACAAAGTGCTTAACGTTTCACTACTTGTATATGCTGAGAATTTACATGCAATTGTAGAAAAAAACTTAATATTACGGCTATAGTAACAAACATACTTAGACCACCACCCAAGTACAGATTGCTAGGTATAAAAGAGTTTATCAAGCCAACTTTTACTTTTAGCTTTTCTCTTGATGAGTGTACCGAGCCTATTCCGTAAAGTGCACAAATATCCATAAAAAAAACCACAGTCAAGAATACAGAACAAGTAGAAAGAGTAAGAGAGACTAAGTTAAAGTCCCATGATCCTTATACAAAACGCTGAATCTATCATTGCCCTAATTTAAACACTCCCATAAGCTCCAGGTCTTCCTTATGGTCTAGAAAGGTGGACAGATCAAAACTCCTAATCGCTTCCATCCCATGGATTCCAACTTTTACAATAGTGTTTTTTTCAATGTTGTAGTATATAACGCAGGAGGGGTGCGATAACACGATTTCATTACTACCAGTAACTCCAGCAAAGCGTAAGCTGCGTAACACGTCTTTTCCAACCACACTCTTCAACACAGGAGGCAATATGTATTTATGCTTCGACCACTCCTGCTTTTCAGAATCCCCTATGACCATCAACTCTATACTTTTAGTTTTATAACCAAGCCTAATTGAAGCTAATTTTCCATTGTAGTCTATCATAGTTCCTTCAAATACTGGTCCCTTGAGAGTCTTGTCCAGATCAATATAACTGAATTTCTCAGACCTAACGTGAAAGCAAACTAGTGTAGGATTGTAATTTCCTAAATAATTAGCTTTATAATACAAAACACCATTGATGCATATCCCTTTACGCACAGAATAATGGGGCGAGCAGCACTCTATTATTCTCCACTCAATCTTTTCAGTTCCTAAAGTCAGAACTTGATGCTCGGTGATCGAACGCCACAGTTGATATCTCAATGATAATACCTTATATTGTTTATAAATGGGATCATACCCCATAAACATGATCTCGTCAGAAAGCTGTCCCTTCGGAACTACCCACATGATATTCTTCAGTTTGGGTAAGGTTAAAGCTTGTCCCGTGCTAGGGTTACATATTGTATGTACTCTTGAGATCTTTCCTTCGTTCGAAATCCGTTCATCTATCAGACAGACCAAGCCGTGGACAGGACCGCTAATAAAACACTGATACTGAGAACCACCAAAGGGTATATGCGAAAGATGCTTGACGGCTACAAGAGATGAGTTCTCATCAGGATTATGAGGCTGAGGTGACGAGAGGAATAGGAACTTGTGTTTTTCTCTGTAGACAAACAATAGATGCGGGCGAGATGAAGATCTGATGTTGAATAGGTCCGTGAAATAGGGAAGGCGAAGTATAGATGCCCAGAGCTTCGATACGCAACGACATCTCCCTAAAGACTTCATCGGTAGTCTCGAGAGTATTTCCATTATGAGATCAGTAGGGAACGTGTCTGAGTATTCTCTTTCATCCAACAAGGTCTTAGCTCGCTTATTGCCCTTAGATTTCATGGCTGAGACGAATGTGCTGTAAACCCTAGCTAGCTTCCCTCTGAGCTCGTATGGTTAGAAAGATTTTAAAGAATATAAGTAAAAGGCCTTTCACAGAAAATAGAGTAAAAGGCCTGTATAAATTATTTCTTATGCATGCTGGTTACGAGAAAGCCCATGCCCAAACTTACTTAATTTTCGTTGGTGACTTCTATTTTTAATTTTCGTCAAAAAGCTTTGGCTACGATTGGTAACCATCACTTAATCGCAGAATTGCAAGAAAAATTAATTAAGTTGGAGACATTTTAAAATTTTGCAGAATGGTAAAATACATAATTCGTATGTTTGATTATAAGTGTCATTTAAGTTTTTGTACACGGATTAGAGAAACAATTAATTTTCTATATTTTCTATATAAAACACAATTAATCATACACCTAACCATATTTCAACCAATACAAAAGTAAATACAAAATAAATTTTGCATTGAAAACCGGAAAAAACAACACTTATTTTTTCGAAAAGCAACCATCCCACTGGAAGTTGCAAGTTCCGAATTCTGATATATGTTTTGTTTGTCAACCAAGTAAGTGTCAAAAGTCAAACTTTCCAACCAACCATTCACACGTTGACACGTCATCTATTGTCATGGCTTTTGACGTATTAGCCAGTCTTGTTGAGCTTTCCTTCAACAATGTACTTAACGTTTCCACTAGAAAGGGAGAAGGATCAGATCCATAAATGAGAATACAACGACATCTGAGACGAGTCTCCGACGGTAGATAGAACTCACAAGCATATGTTTTTGTAATCTTAATTAGATACGTGCGCTGCTACACTTATTTACGTGTTGACTACTCTTCCAAAACCGTCGTCTTGAAACATCTTTGGATCATGAGCATTGATCCCTAGACACGTGATCATTGTCTCACATTCGCCGTAGAGAACTCACGTGTCCGTCCTTCAGATCTCTAATCCATCACAAAAGACTGCTCCTTTCTTCTTTTTCCTCTTTGTTAAACTAGATGGACTTCCAATCTTCACATTCGCCATAGGCGTAGAGAACTCACGTGACCGTCCTTATGTAGCTATATATTGTAATCAATTAACCGAGAAAAGAATATGGCTGCGGATGAACTGTCTCAGCGTGTACTAGAAGATCAAAGTGTTGTTGAGTTTTATTCTTGTCCCCCATTATGGTTGATTAATTTCTTGTATAAACCTTATACAGTTTAACGTTATTAATAAAATGTTGTTAAAAAAAAAAGAAGAGATAAGTCCGAAAACGAGGTTTCTGTGAGTTGAGTTGGGAGAAAGATATGTTGTGTGTGGTTTGAAGGACGAGAGATGAGATGAAAATCAAGAAATCGAGTAATTGAAATTTTTATGAAAAGGAAAGTGTCGGTAAGAAGAATAATCCTTTTCCTTATCCCTGAGAGGTTTTACTTTTTTTTTTCCTTCTTCTTTTTAATATTATGTCAAATCTCGTTTATAAAACTAAACAGCCTCTCTGTATCTTCTTCTTATTGTGATGATGATGGGAAAAAAACGTAGGTTGATGATGATGGAAGAAGCTCTGCCCCACGACGTGGTAGAGCTCATCTTGGAGAGACTTCCGGTGAGATCTCTGCTGAGATTCAAGGCTGTATCGAAGCAATGGAAATCAACGATGGAATCACGAAACTTCCAAGAGAGGCAGTTGAAGCATCATCAGCAGTCAGGAGGAAGAGATCCAGATGTTTTCATGTCGTCCGCAAGTACTCAAAGAACATATGTAATGGGTTCATCCTCCTCATCGGTCAAGATCCCTAATCCTTGGGGTAAGGAGAACCCAACAACAACAGGCTACTTCGTGTCCGGTAATAGCTGTGACGGTCTCGTTTGTCTCTACCATCCCTTGGAATCCGGTTATGTCTTCAACCCCACCACGAGATGGTATCGTCCTCTTCCTCTCTGCCAATTGCAACAACTCATGATCAGCCAAGGAGAGAGTTCCTACGAGAATGAGCCCGGCATCTTTAAGCTTGGATTCGGTAAAGACACATGCACAACTACTACTACTACTTATAAGCCTGTTTGGCTATACAACTCCGGCCTTGACAACGCTGCCACATGCGAAGTTTTCGACTTTAGCACCAATGCTTGGAGGTATGTGACTCCCTCTGCTCCTTATCGGGTTGCTAGGGTCGCCGATCCCGTCTTTGTACACGGTTCGCTTCATTGGTTCACAGATTGCAAGGAAACCAAAGTTTTGTCTTTTGATCTTCACACCGAGGCTTTTCAAGTCGTCTCTTCTAAAGCTCCTTTTCCCGCCAATTCATATGATGAGAATCCTTACTCGATCGTCTTGTGCAACCTCGACAACCGTCTGTGCGTGTCACACATGAAGGGGCCCGACCAAGTGATATGGTCCTTCAATTCAGGCAACAAGACGTGGGAAAAACTTTTCTCCATCGATCTGGATTTGAATTTTGTGTTATATGGTTCCCCAACAGTAAGCGCCTTCCGTCCACTAGTACTTTTGGATGGCAAGAAGAAGAAGAAGAAGAAGAAGGATTTGCTCTTTTATGACATTATGAAAACTGAATGTCTGTTGATATATGACCCCGAAACAGATCGTCTAGGGGATTTTACTTTCACCGCTGATAAATCCATGGGATTTCTTGTTTGTTATTTCCAGAGTTTAATCTCTATTTGATTTCTTTTTGTTTTCTTGAACAAAATTAACTTTGGGTTTTGTCTCTCCAGCCTGACTTCTTTTGTTTTCAGGTTTGTTCTTGTTAGCTTTCTTCTTTTTGTGTGTTTTGGTTGTTGAAATTTAGAAACCCTTCTACTCATGCGACCCAACTACTTAATGTTGATCCCTCTGGGTTCTCTGTCAAAGTTTAAGCCACGCTCTCACTAGATATTGTGAAAGTTCATTTACTAAGCTATATTTTTGTGTTTGCTGATTAAGAGTTCCTGTAACTGAATCATATTTATTTTGCTTCTGTTCAGGAAGAACTACGCCAGCAAAAGGAGGAAGAAATGGATGACTATTGTTCACAAGTATGTCTTAGTAAGAATTACATATAGAGAGCATCTGGTCTCTGTTTTCAAAGGTATTTTCAGAATATCTCATAACATGCTGTGTGTTATTATTATGTCCACATGTCCCTGTTCGACATCTTGTATTCATGGTTCATGCCTTTTGGACAAAAAGGTGAAAAGTCTAATCTTGTTGACTACGTAGGAAACTTCTGTCAAATCACAGCAGGTTTATAATTAGGGGAACGTCATCTAACCTCTCATCAGCTCGGCACTCATAGTATGATTTTACTTCATATGTAATGTTCTTTCTTTCTATATTGTTTTTGTAGTGGAGGAAGGGTTTAAAGCTAAGTGGTGAAGCTGCTGTTGATAAATGTACTTTAGACGGTGTACGGCGTTTGCCAGAGATGCTGAGCGCAACTGTTCATGATGTGTTATACTATATGAGCCCCATCTATTGTCAAGCTATAATTGATTCGGTATTGTCAGGCTATAATTGATTTCACTCATAGAATATTACTGTATGTCTCATCAAAATTGGTTGTATCACTGAACCGTATCAACAAAGGAGTCTGAATGTACGGTTCAGTGATACAACCAATTTTGATTAGACATACAGTAGTTGTGAAGCCTTTCCCAATGATATCCCATGAAGTTTTGAAAAACTCAGTAGAAATATTTTCCGACCACTGATATTGAGTGTGTACTGAACCAATTCTGTAACATATCCATAAACAGACCATTGCTATTGAGTGTGTATTAAACCAAAACTGAACCAATTATGTAAAATTAGAAATATACCCAACAACAAAATCACACAGAAACCAGTAAATAATAGCCATCCAATACGCCAAAAAAAGTGTCATGTTTACAAAGCCAAAGTGACAAGTAAAGATTATAAGGACTAGTTAAGGGCCAAATCAGCTTTGTTACAAAACTCTCAATTGTTCTATAAAGTCATTACTTAAACGCTTGCGTAAGCTTGAGATCCTCCACATGGTTAAGAAAGGTGGCAAACTTAAACTCAGACGAAGCTTCCATCCCTTGGATTCCAACTCTTACGACATCTTGTGTCTCGACATTGAAGTAGACAACCTTGGAAGCGTCCGATAAGACAACTTCACTAGTACCAACAAATCCAACCAAGCGGAACTTATCACTTCCAGCTACATCCTNGTAAGCTTGAGATCCTCCACATGGTTAAGAAAGGTGGCAAACTTAAACTCAGACGAAGCTTCCATCCCTTGGATTCCAACTCTTACGACATCTTGTGTCTCGACATTGAAGTAGACAACCTTGGAAGCGTCCGATAAGACAACTTCACTAGTACCAACAAATCCAACCAAGCGGAACTTATCACTTCCAGCTACATCCTCCCATGGAATTAATGCAATTTGATAGAATTGTCTATTCGTACATTAACCTATTATTTTTTGTTTATTTATTTTAAAGTGAAACAAGCATACTAAAAATTTCAAATTTTTACATTACTTATTATTAATATTATACAAATATTAACTAAATTGACCATACTAAAAATGTTATAATTCTTTAATTCACGTGATTTAATTAATATTTGTACAATATTAATAATAGTCAATATATGAATTGCCTCATAATAATGTCCAGTATATAAATAATCTATACTACTAAACAGAAGACAAAAAAATTTTCACATGTGAGTTGGACGTTCCTTAGAAATTTATAAATTTAATTATCTTAATCATAATATTTTAATATATTTTTATTTTGAATATAAATAGATATATTAAAAATATTCTAAAAAAATTGTTGAAAATGATTTTAACAAGATCTAGATATTAATTTTTTTTTTATTAAATATTTTGTCCCCCCAAAAAATTATTTAAATAGTTACACTAATTTAAATTAATAATAAAAATATATATTAATATATATTCAGTTATCGTTTGTAAAATGAAAAATAAAATTTCATACTAAAATAATTATTATACTAAACTAATATGATAAAATTATATTCAATTAATATAATAATATATTTTATTTTACAATATACATATCATCTATACTATTAAAGCTGAAGTACAAAAAGCTAGTGTTTGGAAACATGAATAGGTATTTAAAATTATAATGTTTGGAAACAAGGATAGCCTACAAATCTAATGGGCTTATTTATTAAACTAAAGATTATTGCGGCCCAAAGTATCATTATTATTGTTTTTGGGTTTCTATCATTGATATTACTTTATTTCTGAAAATTATTTATACATATATGTATTCATTTTTTAAATGTATTTAAAATAAATCAAGAATAATATATATTTTATTTATATAATTTATATTGACTATTGTTAGAATTTTTTAACAGTGATATACTAGCCTTTCAATTCTTCATTAAAAATTAACTTAAAAATTTGAATAAATTGTTTAATGTATATAACTTTGCACCAAATTGAGCATAATTTTTTTTTATAAACTATTAATAAAATATTTACGGGTCACAATATATACCATAAAAAAAATACCCGCCCAGTCGGGCGGGTTATGATCTAGTCTATACTATTAAAGTTGAAGTACAAAAATTTATGTGTTTAGAAACATGAATAGGAAATATTTAAAATTATGATGATTGAAAACAAGGATAGCCTACAAATCTAATGGGTTTATTTATTAAACTAAAGATTATTGTGGCCCAATGTACTATTATTATTGTTTTTGGGTTTTCTATCATTGATATTACTTTACTTTTGAAAATTATTTATACATATATGTATTCATGTTTTAAATGTATTTAGAACAAATTAAGAATAATATAAATTTTATTTATATAATTTATATTGACTATTGTTATAAATTTTTAAACAGTGATATACTAGCCTTCCAATTCTTCATTAAAAATTAACTTAAAATTTGACTAAATTATTTAGTGTATATAACTTTGCACCAAATTTAGCCAAAAAAAAACTTTATAAACTATTACTAAAATGTTTACGGATCACAACATTTTACAGCGCCCATGTTATACAATACAGTGATAAAATACAATGTTTAAACTGTAGACTATTACTTAGTAAAATTGGAACCATTAAATTGTAATTTTCAAAAGTTATATATACCATAAAAAAAAGACCCGCCCAGTAGGGCGGGTTATGATCTAGTATATATTAAAACAGAAGTCATGACTTGATTTCATGTGTGATTTTTTTAAAAATGGACTATTACTAGAAAGTTATGTTACATTAGCTCTCTAATAATATTATCATTATTATATCTTATAATATGCTTAACAATTTTGTTTTTGGTAAATTACCCCACACCTTCCAACTTAGTTACGCAAAATATGTCAATAGATATAAATTTAGGAATCTTCTATTATTTATAAGGAAATATGTCAATAATAGTTAAATGCATCCAGAATATATTAACAAAAATCACAGATTATTAATATGTAATATTTATATACCTTAATAAAATTTACACGTTATATATATTAGATAAATTTATTTCGATGTAAAATTTTAAAATTGTATTGTTTAAAAAAAGAAATTGTTTAAAAAATTCCTTTTTAATAAACTTTTTATAATATTAATTTATGAAGCTATAAGTTTAGTTTTTAGCAAAAATTTCTTCGAAGTTTATATTATCTTTGCAAATTAAATTACACTAATATTTAATCAAGCTCTATTTATATTACTTTATCTAAAAATGAAATACTAATCTAACAAACAATAAAATATAGAAGAAGAAACAAACACATGTTTNGTTTGAAAGTCATGTATAATATAGAAAATTTGAAACAATCTATTTGATTAAAACACTTATTATATAATATTATTATGTTTGAAAAACATTTACTATACATATCGTAAATATGTGATTACTATAATATATACCAATTTACAAGTGAAAACAAAATGTTTATATAACTATAAACGAAAACAAACACCCGCGCGGTTGCGCGAGTCAAAATCTAGTTTATGTTAAAATAATATAATACGTTAGCAAAAATGGTCACACATAGTAAACTATATAATAAATGTTTATAAATTAACATATCTTAAACTTTTATATATGCAATAATATCATCTAAATAAATAAACACAAAAATTACTAAAAATCTAGAGCTTTGAAGTGTGGGTAATTATTTAATATAAATTAAATAAAAATTGATTTGTAAACTTGTTGTTTCATGTACATTTAATAATCAAATGCAACAACAAATTTTTTTTGATGACCTTAGTATCTGGATGCTCCTGAAAGAGATCTAATTAGCGTCTAATAACCATCCACCAGAAATTTAGGCATAGTCCGCCATGGAGCCTGCCGAAGGCATCCAGAGAGGCTGGTGATTACCTCCTATTAATCTATTAGTGGTCACATGCTGCTTGGATATTGATTTCTGTGATTGGGTCCAAAAATCCCTTAAAATATTACCACAAATCTATTAGCAACCACACTTTGGACCATGCATCTATTGGATAAGACTCTAAAGTGTGGCATATCCGCTTGCCACAAGGAATCAACAAATTAATGTGACAGTTTGAAACAATTGATTAATTATGATATGTAATTATAAAATTATTATATTTGAAAAAGTTATATAAATATTTAAATATATAACTAACATTAAAATATATACCATTGATTTAAAAAAAAAAACAAATATGTGTGTATATATATATAACTATATGAAATATAAATAAAATTTGTGCGGTTGCGCAAATTAAAATCCAA